TCAAGAAACGGAGTTAAGCTAGTAAGCTTGCTTCTATGTGGAACAGGTTTTTTATTGCGAACGTTGTGTACTTCGGTGTTGAATGTTTCTTGTTGTACGAGCCTGACAACCTTTGCTAGACTTTGGTTTAGCTCGGTGACCGACAAAGGTCCACTTATGCGGGCACAGCTCGGAACTTGGCTATTCTGCACGAAACGGAGAATGTACGCACAAACGCGTACGGTTTTCGTCAGCGACGAGTACCGAAGAATAACGGAGTCTTGACAAATCGTAAAATTTGCTTGAAGCGGCTTCCTTTTAACTTCAGCTATTTCTTCGTTGATGTGCAATTCAGTCGTGCTAAATTTCGGCCAGGAATCTTCATCTGACAGCAACCACTCTGGGCCGGACCACCATAGCCTGAAAGTTGATAAACTGACTGGTGTTAGGCCTCGGGTTGCGCAATCAGCTGGATTTTGCATAGTATCGACGTGACTCCATTGTGACGGTGAAGAGGTTTGTAGTATCTTGCCAGTCGGTTTGAAACCCATGTTTGCCATCGATTCGGATCGCCATTTATCCAGTAAAGCACAATCGTAGCATCGGTCCAATAAAATGTTTTTAGATTTGTATACGGTAATGACAATGATTTTTTGGTCCATTCCATTAATTCAGTCGCCAGCACTGCTCCGCACAACTCGACGCGTGGTATAGTCAACGGTTTTGTCGGGGTGACTCTGCTTTTTGCGATGAGAAGCGTTGTAAAAATTTTACCATCACTACATTCTACCCGTAGATAAACACATGCTGCATATGCAGCTGTCGAGCCATCGCAAAATACATGGAGTTGTAATGATTTAACATGATTTGGCTCATAGTTCAACCATCTCGGCAGCGTGATGCAGGGCAGCTCCGATACAGTATTTAGAAAACGTTGCCATTGGTGATTTAGATTTGTTGGTAGCGTTTCATCCCATGCCAGTGGTGTGAACGTGTGCTCATCGCGTTGTACCTTAAAGGACCATACCGATTTCAGGATGATTTTGGCTGCTACAATAACCGGTGCAATTAATCCCAGTGGGTCGTACAGACGAGCTATAGTTGAGAGCACTGACCGTTTGGTGGCAGTAAAATCAATTTCGAAGTTGAGCCGGAATTTAAAAACGTCCTTGTTCGGTTGCCACAGAATGCCAAGGGTTTTAACGGTATCGCTGCTATTTAACTGTAAGGCATTACTGTCTGACCTGTTTTCGGTGGGAATACCGTCCAGCACCGCCGATGAGTTGCTGCTCCATTTTCGAAGTTCCATGCCAGCGGAGCGCAATGCTAAGGTTACTTGTTTGCGAATTTCGGTGGCGATCTCAACGGAGTGACCGCCAGATAGTACGTAGTCAACATACATTTCATTCCGAAGGACAGGTGCTGCTAACGGACACGATGTACTTTCGTCTTCAGCCAGTTGGTGGAGGATTCGTATCGCGGTATAGGGAGCGGAAGCAGTCCCAAATGTGACTGTCGTGAGACAATACTCCTGAATTTCATTTGCTTCGTTTCGCCACAAAATGCGTTGATATTGCGAGTCATCTGTGTGCATGTCTATGCACCGATACATTTTTTGGATATCAGATGTAAACGCAAATTTGTGTTTTCTCCAATTTAAAACTACTGCTGGCAGATCATTTTGAAGTGCGGGTCCCACACACAGTACGTCATTTAACGATTTGCCATTGCTAGTCTTGCACGAGGCGTCAAACACGATTCTTAGCTTTGTGGTTAGACTTTCCTCTTTGATCACAGCGTGGTGAGGTAATACACATGATGCGACTGTTGGAGCACTTGAGGCAAGTTTGACGGAATGCTGCTCCTCAGTTGTCGTAGCAGGAGTTATTTGATTCAGGGTGAAATATTCCCGAATACACCCTTCATACCGGGCTCGCAATTCATCGTTGCGTTGTAGTTTTCGCTCCAGTGAATGAAAGCGGTTGAGTGCAAGTTTTTTGGATTTACCGAGGGTTTGAGATTCATCAAACAAATTTTTCAATGGAAGTCTCACTAAATATTTCCCATTTGGTTGGCGCATATGCGTTTGTTGAAAATGTGTTTCACACCAGTTTTCTTCTTGCGAGAGAGATCTCTCGGTCGGTACTTGATCGATTTCGAAAAAACGTTGTACAAGTGATTCCAGCTCGAGAGTGACATGGTTGCAATGAAGACTAGCAGCATCAACTTTGGGGGTGGAAGTAGTATTGCCAGACAATATCCATCCCAGATGGGTGCGCTGGGCTATTGGTTCATGAAGTCCTCCAATACGTGTTTCTGGCAATAAAAGGTTAGCGAACATGTCTGCTAACTGCAGTCCTCGAATATGAGCCCATTGGTTTGGCTCAATTGTTTGACTTGGCAATTTATTGGTGAGCGCCTTTAAAACAAAGGCGGTATTGACCGCGACATGGTAGTTAGGGTTCACATATGAGTGCATTGTGAAATTCACAGTGTGCTTACAACGATGCGCGACGTTGCTGCCCACCCCAGATATATCTGCCGAAGCACGGTTGCGTGTCAAACAGAGTGTTTGAACGGCATGCTCTGAAATAAGTGTGCATTCAGAGCCTTGATCTAATAGCGCACGTACTACCATGGACTGACCCGTGCCGTCGTTCTTGATCGTGACGAGAGCGGTGGCTAAAAGCACCTTACGAGTCTGCTTCTGTGACGGTTCTGTAAGAAGCTGAGCAGTGTGCGTTAACCTGGATGACGTGGGGTTTTGATGAGTCGTGGTCTGACTCTGAGTGCTTTCAACTTGAAAGGTTTGAGCTGATGGGTTTAAAGCTATTTGAGATTTGCCACCCTCGTGTGATCGAGGGGATTCATTTTGCTGTGGGGGCTTTGACATTGGAAAATGTAGAAGAGTGTGGTGTCTTTGGCTACACTGTAGACAGTTCTTCGTGCTGGTGCAACGGGAAACTGAATGAGCCCTGCTCAGGCAATTTAAACAAAGTTTTTCTTTGTCCGCGATAGACTTTCTCTCAAAGCAATCTTTGGCGAGGAATTTGGTACAGCGCCGCAGAATGTGTGCTTCGCCACACAGAAAGCATGAATTGACGTTTTTCGGTTGACTAGTGGCGTGAAAACTATTACTATTATGTCTGTATAAAGCCTTTGGAGGTCGACTTTGGCGTTTAGTTGACGAAGTGGTATCAGCCACATTGCTGGTCTTTGACAGTGAGTTATTACCACATGAAATGTTTCTATTTTCAATCACATTGATTTTCACCAGACGCTTATTTAAAAATGCTTCTAACATTTCAAAGGTGGGGATGTTAACGTCACTGCCGAGGTGATATTCCCAAGCGTGATGGGTATCCTTTGGCAACTTTGTTGACAAAAGGTACGCAATCCACTGATTGCCCTGTGAAATAGGTATTTTCAAACGACTGAACTCATTTATACAGACTTTTGCTACATTGAGTAAAGACTTGATGTCGTCTGAGCACTCTTTAGTAACTGCAGATTGTGTGAAGAGCTTGTTCATGTGGTGCATGAATAGTAGACGAGGATTATTATAACGATTTACAAATAAATCCCAGGCAGTTCCATAGTTGGTCTCAGTTAAGGCCATTTGCTGAACATCTACATCGTTTTCTGCTGGCAGTGCCTTCTTTAAAAAGTGAAATTTTTGAATAGCACTTAAGTCGGTGTTGGTGTGGATCAGTCGGACAAATGCATCATGAAACGCCGGCCATTCGATATATTTGCCAGAGAACGATGGCAACGGTAGTTTTGGCATTTCGATTGGTGACATTTTTTTTGGAACTTGCAGTTGAGAACCGGCAGATTGCTCCGAAGATGAAGGCGTTTGTTCGTTGTATGCTTCTAAAAGTGCAACCCGGCTATCGAAATAGCGTTCTTCAAACTCCGAAGCTACCCTGTCAGTAAAATATTGCGATTTGCGACTGGTGTCATGGTGTACAATGGTGGTGTGAGTTTTGTTAAACTCTCCATGTACTGCTTCTATCTTTTCAAGGCGAACCTGGCAGTATACCCTAGTTTTTCTCGTATTTGGGTCCTTTTTAAAATTCTTTAAAATTTGCTTAAGTGTCTCGCATCGCTCTAACTGTAGGGTAAATAATGCATCTAAATCAATAACGGTTCCGGTGTCCGATTCGCTGGTACTTGCTTTGCTCATTTTTCCTATGCTTTTATGTACTAGCCAATATACCTCGCTAACTATTTATGTGACGTTATATGTATAATATATGTACACTCGCTGTCAGCACCAAATAATTAGAAACACCTAGCACACTTACCGTTTTCTGATGTCCGTCGTTGACCAGGTATGGATAAGAGTAACGAAAATAGTAATTGCTGTCGTCTGCCAAACCTTCTACTCTTGCTCTTCTATGCTACGACACCCGCTTTTCCTGATTCTCGGTTTGGGTTTGCTGGGAATCAATCTGCGCCCTTTTGTTCCTTGTTTGATGTCAATAATTTTACACAATTCCCCTCATGGGCCACCAAATTTATGTGCGGTTCGCAATGTTAAGAGGGGTTCCCTTTTATTTTAAACTCA